GCCTCCCTTGTAGATGGGAAGACGATGCAACCACATTCCTGTCAGCAAGGAGGGGATGGAGGGGATAGACCAATGCCTAGGAGGGGATAGACCAATGCCTAGGAGGGGATAGACCAATGCCTTGGGAGGCAGCTGGTCTTTTTCCTTCCTGAAGGTTGGTGGTGGCAGATGGGTCACGTGGGGCTGGAGCAGGTAGGCAGGACAAGATGGATGCCAGCAAGCTGTCAAGGATGCAGACCTGGGTCCCTGAAGACCGTAGAGCCTCCATGGTAAGCGAGATGCCCTATGTTTAGGTAGCAGAGAAAACCTATTTTCCAAAATGTAGCCTTGACTTAGTGACATGCAAAGCCAGTTCAAGCCCCACCCTTTCAAGGCTCGAAGACTACCATACCATTCTGGAGTTCCAAACTGCTGCTCCTGCACACTGAAAGGGAACCCTAAGACCGTCGCTGCACAGCACAGCAGTGGCTAATCAACTCTGTCCCTCCCCAAACACCAGTGACCTTCTGAAAGCAAGCCTGTCCCTGTTTCCACAACCTGCCCAGACCAGCCTACATGGGCACGGCTGAGCATGGGAATGGTCTGGCTGATGGGCTTGTGACCACATGGGCATTATCACCAGGCATTTCTTCTCAGTCTCTACCACAGCTTGCCCAGGCAACAAGCATTTCTAGGCATCTGCTAAGTCAGGGCCTCAGGCCATAAGAGTTTTTTTTAGGCCTCGGGACACACAGATTAATAGAAAAATGCTGAAACAAACATTTAAGTTCAGGGTGGTGGGGAGCAGGGGGCTGCGAGAGGCACGGGACGCCTCCATCGAGTCAGAATGAAGCATTGGAAAGATGTCCTGAAGGAGTGGACAGCGGACTCCAACCCTGGGGAAGAGCAATACTGCTGGATAAAGATGACAAGACAGGTACACCCCCCACATGTCCAACTGACATTCTTCTACGGGCAATCTCTTCAAATGGACAGCACTTCAGAAATGACCAGCTTATCGTGTGTTGCTGGTTCTCCTGTTAGCGTGACGACTTAGCTGTCATTTTCCCCCTCCCCCCAGCTTTCTTGGATCACCCAGAGATCCTTAAGGTCATCACAGTTTCCTGTCTTTGTGCTCTTGTCCATCCTGTCAGAACCCTGAACCCGTCACCCACGGGGTCCCTGAAGCTTTTGCCCTCAGGAGCGGCCCTCCCCCTCTTCAGCACCAGCCTCCTCCCTGGTCCTGCCTCCCAGGCACCGACACGCTGGCTTAACCGTCCTTTCCTGCAGAGTGGCCAGGCTTGTGCCACGGTTTGGAGCTCTCTTCCCCATGCTCTTGGGAGGTAGGGAGAACGTCCAAGAGAGGTCTTCAGCCACTGCGGGCTGGCCGATGAGGCCTCAGCACCTTCCTCTCGTTCCTTTCATCTCTGGCCATGACACCAATGGTTTCTCTTTGCCATACACTCCCTGCCATTGTCACCCAACACCTACAACCAGAGCGCCCAAAACACCAGGTCAACCAACCACAGACTGGAACCATATGCCAAAAATAGTCTTTTCTCTTTCTAAGTTGACTGACTCTCTCAAGTCTTAGCAATGGAAAACCAACAGATCAAGTCAATGACCTACTTTGTCCCAGGGGTCTAGCACAGTGAGTACCTAGTGCCTGGGAGTTACTCAATGAGTGTTTGCTCAATGAGCTAAGGTAATCGGGCAAGCATATGTCACTAAATAGGGCTCTAACAGAAGCAAACTAAGAAGAACTCTCTCTCCCTCAGGACTTCTAATCAAATGATTCAAAGCACTCTGCCAACCCAGGGCAACTAAAGCTCAAGCCAGCCTCTGAGGGGAGTTCCACTGTCCATCAAAGATGAGGACCAATGCTGGAACCCAGTATCAGCCCACAAAATTTGCACTAGCACTGCTTATACCGCAGTACCCCTTGGTGCTTATCTCTCTGGGTGGAGGCAGGATAGCTCAGCACAAATGACTGAGCTCAGGACGGAGCAGGACCCAGATCCACCCACAGGCCCTGTGAATGCACGCTGGGAAGCTTGATGCAAAGTCAAACAAGGTACCCAAAAGAAGAAACAGAGCACCAGGGTTCTCCTCCCATCCGAGCCTGGCTTTCTTGGGCTCTGCCTGACTTTTTCTGAAGCCTTCAGAGCGCTGGTTCATTCTCACAGAGGGTGACACCAGTGTCATCTTACCTGGGCGCCGTCTCCTGCCACTTTCACAATGCCTCCTGCCTTCCTTAGCCCACATTAATTTTTCTCTTTTCTGCAATCTTTCAGAATTTTTTTGTCGGTATAATTAATTTTGGCATTAAGTCACAATGTCTGATACTATTCTCTTTTTCTGAAGAGCCTGAAAATTCTGAAGGAGCATGCTGTGGAACTCCCACATAACAAAGATTTGAGCATCTAGTAGGTGCTCACACACTGAACCGAACAAGTACCGCTCTGCGAGTTCTGGTGTTCTCTTTATCACTGGCATCCACTAACATTTCAAGGTCAAACAGAGATGGCAAAGGAGGCACCCAGCAGCCCCATGGTCACCGGGCCAGGTTGGGAGATAAAGGCCAGCACATGCCGGGTCCACAGGTATTCTCAAAAGAGACCCTAACCCTGACATGAGAGCGTTTGGGGCTGCGCCAAGGGAGCCCCATTTTCTAGACTTGGGCTCAAAGATGAAATGTCATTAAACAGCTGAGAAATGGGAAGGAAAGGGCTGCTGTGGATCTAGGCAGGAACACACGTGAACAGAGGCCATAAATCCCTCCCAGACACAGACAATGCCTGGACGATAAGCATGCAGATTGCACACCTAGTTCAGAAACTCCCCTGAGTTTGCTTGTAATTAAGGGGGTTAGAGAGGTAAAAAAAATATATAAACCCAATTAATCATTTAAATATTTAAAGGCAGATTTTTTTCCTCACTCCAGTATTAGTATATTTCATAACGCCAGCAGCCGACAGCCCTGGTTTTTACTGGGGTTCATTTTAGAGCATGTTTAAACTCGTCAGATTGAGTGATGCTTCCAGCAACTAATCGTATGTCAAATAAAAGATATTTTATGTAATAAATTACCGCTACAAGTAATTCAAATGTCATTTATCAGTTTTATTATCAGTCAGGCAAAGTCTTGTTTCTCTATATTAATCAAAATCAAGCTTTCCCCCCCCCCTTTTTTTTTTGAGCAGTTTTGACACCTCTTGGCAAAAGTACAGAAATGAAGAGTAGAGTCAGCCCCAAGCTGAAAGGAGTAGTGTAGCAGTATGCGAAGAATGAAGCTGGATGGTGACAACTGAAAACTCCAGTACTAGAAATTATCATTCCCATTGTTTCGATGCCGGTGTCAAAGCAGGAGGAAGCCTGTCTCTAAGAAGACGTGTTATTGTTAGGGCCAGGAGACTAACAGAGTCTAAGCCTGCAATCTTGAAGGAGACTGCAGACTCAACCGCTGCTGCCGGCCAGAAAAATCTAATAGTTAACTCTTTGTGCTTCCAGAAGGCAGGCAGGCGTATGATGTTTGATGCCAACTCTGTGACCAAGCAGAACGATTTGTTCCAAGAAGGAAGTTTTCGAGTGTCGGAGAGACCTGTTTGGTATTAAGCCGTGGGAGGAAACAGCTGGAACACAACAGATGTGCTTAGACAATTCTACACCCAGCTGCCACTGCCTATCCTCAACAAATCCCAACAAACACTGGGTGCAGGGACACAACTCAGAAAGTGTGGACACTTACTTAGCCTTTGGTTAAAGAGCATGTTTAGAGTCTGAAGCCCACACAACAGATTGAGAGGATTTGGGCTGGGAAAGAGAAATGTGTCGTCATGCCAGCCAGTGGCTCGGGCCAGGCACAGAGGGACAAGACACATGAGTATATGTATCCTGGCTTTGCCACTCAGCGTCACCCAGAAAGCAAAGGACTAGGCAAGCCAGGCAAAAATGCTCATCAGGGAGAAGGGAGACAGTGTGTGCTCAGGCGCTCTGGATCAAAATGAAAAATGAACCCTGCACTTTGGGTTTTTAAATTTTTTTTTTTTTTTTTTTTTTTTTTTTTGCTTTTGGAGACAGGGTTTCTCTGTGTAACAGGCCTGGCTGCTCTAGAACTCACTCTGTAGATCAGGCTGGCTTCAAACTCACAAAGATCTGCCTGCCTCTGCCTCTGCCTCTGCCTCTGCCTCTGCCTCCCAAATGCAGGGAGTAAAGGTATGCGTCAGCTGAAGCTGCCATTTTTTAACACACCCTTTAAAACCTGGTCTTGAACTCTGCTTTAAATCAGTTTTTGGAAAAAGTAAGCCGTGTAGACAATGAAAATGAAGACAGTTTTAGAAAAGACCTGAAAGACAATAGAAACTGCACTGAGTTATGTAAAAGAAACAAATGTAGGCTGTTTCTTATAGTTTTAGAGATAATTGTCACTTTTGTAGATTTCTCCACGTGACTTACAGAAGAGGAGATGATCTTGTTTGGACGGATGCATGGCACTGTATCTATTACTACAGCAACCTCCATTTAAAACATCAAACTCCCCTCCGCCAGGGTTCCATGCCATCATTAAAGGACCTTTGTACTTAATCTGAAATTCCCTGAGAATCTGTCACTACATGAATCTACGCAGTGGAGTCAGGACAAGGGAGCAAAGGTTGACCTAAACCTATTAAGTTTAAAAGATAAAATTGGAGACACATTCTTTCCGTGGGCAAAGGAGAACCCACTCACAACCCCATGCTTGTGTTGGAAAAGCGACATTCAAAACCCCTGGGGTCAGAAGGCGGTGGCAGAGGCAGCAGGACTGATCATTTGTGTGACCAGAGCGCCTGAAACAACACCAGCGGTTGGCTTGTTCTCCCCTACAACCTTCGGCACACGCTTACAAACTTAAGTGTGCCATTTTTTCATCGCGAGAGAAGCCGAGTTCTCCGTTTGCTGCGGTGGGAGCTGTGGAGGCCTGCCCTTCACCAGTATCGGGAGTCCCTGTCCCAGTTCAGCAGGGTGTGGAGGGGGTGACTTACTGTATGGCTGTGGGATGAGGTGGGGGGCCTGGATGGGGGCCACTGGCGTAGCCAGGGCCAAGGATGGAGGCTCATCTGTAGCAGTGCCGGACTGCTGGAAAGCCAGGTCAATCTCGTCGTCTGTCAGCCCTGGGGAGAAGAGCAGAGGACACAGGTGAGGACGTCGCCAGCTCCCACACTGCGGCAAAGTCTGCCTTTGCAAGGGGGCCCTGGCGGCCACAGAGTGCCTTGCATTCAAGCACGCTGCCGCCTCGATTTTGGATTCTTGGGAACCTCTCTCAGTTGCAATTTAACCTTAAGCGACAGAATATTAGCCTCAACACTGCTTCCAAATGTGGCTCATTCAATTTCCTTAATTTATCCTTGAGTTTATTGCTGCTTTTGAAGTCGCTCCATACTGCAATTCTCCATTCTTCCCCCGAAAACAGATCCCATCAACTGCAAATGTGGCTCATTTTAATCTGTAATGGTGTTAAAAAAAAGAGGGGGAAAACTAACAATAATGCATGAAAACAGACAGGGAAACAAAAAACTAATTATTGGGTGAGACGACTAATTAGTCTGGATCGTTTCCGAAGACGGGAATAATTTGCTTTATTTTATGACAAATGCAGAAATAAAAAGAAAAATCAGGCCTGACTGTGATTAGTATGAATGGGATATAGAATGTAAAGAAGAAAATAAAACAAGGAAACAGATCAAAACAAGATCAGGCCCACACTTTCAGATGATTATTGCTCTACCCTATCATGGGCTGCCTGGACCGCCTTTGGCTAGTTTCTCTTCCCCCTTTCTTCAATCCTCCGACACGCTAAACTACAATGCATACGGGGCATCAGGAAATCGCAGGGCGCCATCTGCAGTGGCTGTGGCATGTGGAAAGGATTTTCTCAAGAAGGAATGGAAGGCAAGTGAAAGCCCAAAGACCCTCATTCTCGGTGGGCCCGAGGCTGACTGGTGAAGGATGAGGATACCAACCAGTGCACAGAACAGTAGGAGTGGATTGGAGAGCCCAGGTGTGGGACAAGATTCCCACAGAGCCCACTCAGGAAATAATGGTGGGTACAAAACAGACCCACTGCGGTGGCTGGGAAAGCAGGTGAGAGGTCACTGCGAGTGTGACAACTCAAGCTGGTCCAGGCTGTTCCAGGATCCCAACATCCAGTGGGGCCGCAACACAGAGCTTTTAAACCAGGGCCGAGAGCTTTTGCACATCTGGTCGGCGGCTCTCCATTAGAGGCCCCCAGCACGGTATACTCGCCCCTAGGGGTGGATGAAGTACCAGGCGATTCTGAGGATCAGCATCTTCAAAGTGTGGTGCCTCGCACTCTGTGCCTGGGGGCTAATGCATGGTGCACATTAGTGCTTTAGAGCCTGGCTCTGCCCTGCATCCTGTTGGCCTGAGTGGACTCCAGCCATCCCTCAGACTTTTCATGCCCTTCTGCAAATGGTCAAGGGAGCGCCTCAACCATTCCAAGTAGCCTTTGACCTTTCTCCTTTTGTGCCGCAGCAGCTCTTCCCCTCTTCACACACACAGAAGCTAGCCAGAGCAAGCAAGCACACTGCTGTCAGCCTGGGTACCGCGGACGGACTGCATTCATCTAGACTGGGCGCAGGTGGTCAGGCCACAGAACACCTCAGGCTGGGGAAGGGGCCCCACTTCTTACATCTACAGCTCGACACAAATGTTGCTTTTCCTATCATTTCTTCTCCCCAGAACGGGGATAGGACAGACAGACAAGCCAGGCAAAACCGGAGGACACAGTTCCCTAGATCTTGTGCCTCTTGGGCTCTTTCATCTGTCAGTCACAGCCAACTGCTCTTCCTAAATAGGGAGGGGCACTCCTCTCCCCAGCGCCCGAAGAAGGGTTGCTTGAAGCAGTCCACAGCCCGCTGCTGGAGAAGGAGGCAGCATCGGCGACGTCAGCACAGGCTGCTGGTCACTGGTACACCATGGGATTCTGCAAACCTGGTGGATCATGTGCCTTGTCAGCTGCTGGCTGCAAATGAGGATAATTTTCCCAAAAGGAGCATTCAGTTGCATTCTCATTTTCCCTTTTGGCTCTTTCAAATATAAACAAGTACGATAATGTTTAACGCTGGGGAAATATACAGCAAGTTACAGGCTGTGCCTCAGCCTTGTGAGCTGGAGCTGGTTAAAGGAACAGGACTCTCTGCCCGTTGTTCTGCCCTCTGGCCCTGAGCTTTTACGAAGCCTGTTTCCCTAATAAAACACACCTTGCATTACCTCGGCCGGCCGAGCCCACCAACCACCAACGAGGCGATGGTTTAAAAAGCATCAGCACTTCAGCTCTGAGACCTTGTCACCTGATGCTCTAAATCTACAGTGGCTGGAATTCTTAGACACCTAGTTCTCTAGGAGAGTCAGGGTTTTGATTTAGTTTCAGTAAATGAGTAGTTCTCCTTAAAGAGAGAAAGAACGGTAGGGAGGGAGGGAGAGAGAAAGAAAGGAAAGGCAGAAGAGCATAACTTTAGAGCTGGAGAATTAGCTCAGCCATTGCCCCCACTCGGCAGATGAAAAGCCAGAGGTAGGGATGAGGACTGCTCAGACCAAACTTGTCCTGCAGAACAGTGCTGCTGGTGACAATCAGAGTCACAAATGTCAGATGACAGACTCAGAACTTCAGACTTGAGTCTGTCAAGGTTTAGAGAAGGATTAAATTCCTTTCTCCCTGCCACCCTGGACCCTGGCTAGGTAAGAACCAGTAACTAGTCCACGGGGTTATAAGAACATGGGGCTATAGACACCCCTGGGTCAGATCTGCAAATGATAACTGGACATTTTAACAACTCCAAAGTGACAAACAGGGCATCTGTGTGCCTCTGTGGGTACCCACAGCTCAGCCAGTGCCAGCCGCTTTCAGGACTATTTACAGAGCAAGGTGGTCCACCTGGGATGCAGGAAGTGTTCCACCTGGGATGCAGGAAGACCAAGCAGGGGTCACTCACTTCTCCCGGAATCAAGACTAGCTATCTACCCAGCCACTGGCTTAGAGTGCAGTGATGAGCTGTTGCCACAGGACCCATGCATGCATAAACATCCAGACGCCCTCGCCCCAGCTTTCCTACTCACCCTGCAAGATAAACAATGCAGATCTCTGATTGAGACCTTGCAGAATCCAAAAGGTTAAAAGGAATAATAAAGGAAACTGCCAATTGTAAGTGAATTATATTTGGCTCTGAAAGCCAAGGCACAGGCTATATTATAAAAGGCATCTCTTTGCACTGTTTACCATCACCCTGACTAATGCAGACCTTTTTTGTTGTTGTTGTTTTAAATAATCTCATGCAAATTAGACACACACACTTCCTTCCAGTTGATTGCTATCTGTGAGGAATAATCTAACCACATAGGGACTGAGCGATGGCTGAACAGAGCAGAGAGCAAAGGACTTTGCCATCCTGCAAGCAAGCCAGTGAGCGCCAAGCAAGCCACCTGCTCCCTACCTGCCTTTGGAAGAGCTAGTTCATTTTGAGAAAGCTTTCATTTTCCTCTTAGCTGAGGAATGGACAGCTGCTGTCTGACACCACTTGGACTTGGCATTGTAATTTCCTTCCAGTAGCTTCCCTTCTACCACTGGGTGATTCTTCTGGAATTCCATCCTACCATCTATTTTTGGTAATGGATAACTTCAGAAAGTCCTGCTTCCTCACTCAAGGAAGGAACAAGAGAACCATCCAGGAGGGGAGGAGGAGCCGTGCAGGAGGCTGTGACTGAGGACAGTGAATGCTGCCACTACCTCGCCCATAGCTGCCTAATCTGCAAAGGCCACCAACTGAGTGAAGGCTCCCAGCACCTTTCTTGTTCCCTTGGTGGCCTCCAATCCCCCGACATTGGGAAGGGAAGTTACCACTGCTGCCCGCTGGGGACCAGCACCCCATGACCAAATCTGAATTCAGGACAGTCACACCCGCCTATTTTTATCTCCTAGCAGATAAACAAACCTGTTTTATTTTTTCTAGAAGTTTCTATTAGAATGCAAACAAAGCCAAGCACACCAGGGTGAACATGATGCCCCACCAGCCTTTCCCAAGACTCAGGCCAAACCCAGTGCCCGGAAGGGCTATTTACTGAGGGACTGGCTGCACAAGGGCTTCTCAGAACAACTCCACGCTGTCTCCAGTGCCTACTGGGCACAGCCCTAAGCCTGACTCTGTGGAGGTGAAGCTGAGAACATCTGTGGAACATGACACCATAGAAGTGTTCTCTGCATCGTGCAATGGCAAACACCAAGACAGAGGGGCTAGGAACGGTTTGCAAATATGCAAGGTAATGAACCTAGCAGCACCTTCCAGTCTGGGCTGAGCTCTGTAATCACACTGTAGAGTAAGAAAGGAACATGGGGGGGGGAGGGGTCAAACCCCAGGCCCGGTGCCAACAGCAGCAGCCAAAGGCTCTTCCTCCATCCACAACCCCTCAATTCCTGATTCATCTCGGACTCTGGAGACTGAGCGGGGGTCACCTCTCTCAGAACACAACTAGTTATCTGCCTGGCACATTCCAGGAGGAGACGAGGCGGGAGAGACAGCTGGCTAAAGATATTCCCCAAATTAAAAGAAAAATCAACTCTCTCAGAATGGGTTGGGGGGAGGGAAAAAGTATTTTTATTTTATTTTATTAACATTTTGTTAACAGTAGAGTACAATAAGGACTCTTGGAGCCTCTAAAAGTCGTTGGATGACCTGTGGACCCCTATTTCCCAGTGCCTTGTATAAAATTGAATTTTTTAAACATAAATTACACGTAATGACGACACTGTAAAAACTAACAGTAATGGAAAGCTGTGCTGTATTTCATTAGCCTGTATTATTCCGTGCCACCTGATCCAGCCGGGCCTTGTTTATGAGTTACTGTGCTAGCAGATGCCGATGGAGGTATTTGCTTCGACCTTGCTCTTCTCATTGGGGCATGAAATTACGACGGCAGCACCTTGATATTACAGCCATAAATACAGTAAACTGCAAATTTAAGCCAACGGCTCCTATTGTCTCTGAACATAAAGCTGATCGGTATTTATTTAAAAGGAGAACAAAAAAAATATTATATATCACCTTGTTTATGGGGCCGCCCCACCCACTCTCTTATCCCCACCCCCAGTTCCCCAACC